CACACACACACACACACACACACACACACACACACACACTCACTGGTAATTACTGCAGTACTTCATACAAAACTGTAAAAAATACTTTTAAATCGTCCTTCCTCTCAGTACAAAGTCTCCACACGTGTCTACTCCCGCTCATACTTACACACACATTAAAGTAACTTTTCCACTCAGCGGAACTCCACTGTTACTTTGATTACTTATTATTACTTTGATATTTAAAGACTTCTGTAACAGCAGAAACAGTTGAGGGTTTACCTGAAGGGGCGGGGCCTGAGCCCACCTGGCGGGTCTGTTCGTGTTTGACTGACAGCCGCTGCAGCTGTTAAAGAAATCACACTGAGTCACTCCACCAGCTCCTCACTTCTTCTCCTCCTCTGGACTTCTCCCTCTCCTCGTTCCTCTCCTCCTCCTAGTCTTCTTCTTCTTTTCTGCTTTACGTCCTTTTATTCTGACTTCTCTTTCTTCCGGCTCCTTGCCATCCACCCCTGCGGCTGGGAGCGCTCCTTTCAGCGCCACGGCCCAACAACACGGAGCGAAGACGTAACTTCCGGTAAGACATTTCAAAATAAGACCAGTTTTGGAAAAGTTCCTGTGATCTTCAAAATAATGTGTACTTTTGTAACATCAAAAGAATTCACGCTACTTAATAGCTAGACGAGGAACTTTTTAGGAACACTTGCACTTGAAATATTTTATTTCACTTTTTTAACTTCACTAATTACAGAACTGTTTAAAAAGTTTTAAGCCGCCCATCATTTTTTTTATTTTTTGCTTCCAAGCGTCCAGACCTTCTTGAGCAGTATTTCTTCATACTTTCTGAAGAACTGTCAATGCTTTTCTTTGGACATTGGCTCCTCTTTCATTCATTTTCAGTACACCTCTTGTACTAGACCATTTTAGAGCAATGTTTTTGGTTTGTTTATAAGCAACTTCAATGCTCACCTATGAGTCATTCAAACATAAAAAAGGCAGATAACGAGATGAATCAGTGTTGTGTCTACACACAACTTAGCAAAGAGCTAATTTTAAACTGTGTCTTTAGGCAGCCTGTCATAAAATATATCATTTGTCCATTCCTTTGGTTACATCTATGAAAAATATCAAAGATTAGACAGTTTGACAGCATAAAATTGTATTTTTGAAACGACAAGGCGAATCCTAAAAAACTATTAGCTGGCTGTAAGGAAGAGGACTCCCTTACTATATTTATTTGTCCATCTCACTGTGTTTCCAGCCGCTAAGGGCCGCCCTGTTACACTGGCATATCTCAGCATGGTGTGCAGTGTGTCTTTAAAAAGATTGACACAGGACTTGAGAGAAGCAAGTCCTGTGTAGGTAATCCATCTACTGATCACTGAAGTCTCATCAGGCTGTCAGGAAGTCATTCTTAATGAAAGGGAAAAGGGAGAAGGGGCTGCAGTATGTCAAATTCCACAACAAACTCATCTGAAGATCAGTGGCAACGGGTCTGATGGAGCAATGAATCCAATTTTAAAATTTTTTGTTCAAATCACTGGTAAGTATGGAGTGGGTTAGGAGAGAGGTACAACATGAACACTGTTTAATTTATTTTACCGAACGAATCATATGTGCATACATGTCATAGTCATAGCATATAATCACACTTATTATTTCCACTACAGAAACTAAGCCTGACTAAAAACAGAGAACATGAAGTTAAAGTTTGTCTCCATCTGCTGGCAGCAGGAAAAACAACAGTGTGGGGGATCGCATCCACAAAGCAGTATAATCTAGATCCCATTTTCCCAGCCAGGCATAATTTTATGGAACACAAGAAAACTTAAGAAACAAACATGTGAATGATAAAATAGAATAAAATAGTCTGGAATCAGGATCCAGTTCTGGCAGTAATCTCCTGTGATCTCCTTTCAATCTGCTGGTTTTAAAGGAGGTCCTACAAGCTACTGAATCAGGGGATGTTTTTAGTTTGTCTGTATAAAGACCTGTGACAAAGTGAGAAGTGATCTCATCTGCACCAAAGCTGCATGAATTTATTTTGTTCTTCATTGTAAGTGTGTTTTCTTAGATATGAGGCTTAAGCATAAACAGCTCTTCTCCTCTGCATGGAAGCTGTTAGATGATTTGTTTCTATTTGGTTTTGATGATGATGGATGAAGGGTGCATGAGCAGCTCATTCTGTTCTACAGAGGGCACAGAGGAGGGAGTCCATCACTAACTATCCATGACTTCCGTCCATGTCCGAGCCCCACATTCAGATCACTCCACCTTCATCATCCACAGCCAAAGTTTTAGTGTGTTGTGTTGAAGAACAAAGCGGTGGCACACTTTGCAGTCTGCTGGACCTGGAATTAAAGCACCAGCACCAGTGTGGCCATGAAGAATCAGTGGGAAGAATAATTTGGTTATTCACATTTCTAGTTCTTGTCTCGTCTCTGTCTTGTCATCAGCATCTCTTTTGGAAGTCAGTTGTGTTCCCGGGATCATTTCTCTGTGTGTCATACCTTTGTCTGTCATGTCTGTTTGTTGTCGGTCCCTGTGTCAAGTTCACACGCCTCAGTGTGTGTGTGCTACTTTTTACAATCCCTCGGCTCGTGTGTGTGTGATGTTCAGCTCTGCTTCCCCTATCTCATCAGTTAGTTGTGTTCAGCTGTGCTCCCAGGTGCGTCCATTCTGCTCTAGTCTCCGTCTGTGTCTCGCTCTGTTCTTTGTCACGTCCTCCCTCATGCATTTTACTGCCTTTGTCATAAAACTAATTACTGTAGTCCAAGTGATGCATGAGCTGGTTTTGCAGCATCACTCTGAGACAGGATTCTGATTTCAGTCTGAACAGCGCCACATTAACACACCTACATCAGGAAAATCAAGAGTAACAAACTACAATTTTGTTTCAGTAGCATTAGAAATTTAATGAAGACATACAAAATTTTACCTTTATCTTCATTTTACCTGAAAACACAATTATTTTTTATTAAAAATCAGCAAGAAAGTAAATTTTGCATTCATTCCAAGACAAAATGCTCGCTTTTTCTGTACTCTGTACTCCAGATGTTTGATCTATTTTCTGATGATTTACTGAAGAAAACTTCAGAAAGTGCATTTTCAGGTAAATGTTCTATGCTCATATCAACATGTGAGATATATGGCAGCTCAAAACAAGTCAGAGCATATGATGGGTCTCCTTTTTACACGAGGATTATCTTTTAGCTCTGAGTCATATTTTCATCCATCCATCTTCGTCTGCTTATCTGGGGCCAGGTCGTGGGGGCAGCAGCCTAAGCAGAGAAGCGCAGACCTCCTTCTTCCCGGCCACCTCCTTCAGTTTGTCTGGGGGAACACCAAGGCGTTCCCAGGCCAGCCGAGAGATGCTCTCCACCGTGTCCTGTGGGACATGCCCGGAACACTTCACCCAGGAGGCATCCTTGTCAGATGCCTGAACCACCTCAACTGGCTCCTTTCGATGTGAAGGAGCAGTGGCTCTACTCTGAGCCCCTCCCGGATGGCTGAACTCACCCTATCTCTAAGGGAGAGGCTAGCCATCCTTTGGAGGAAGCCATTTCTGCCTCTTGTATCCGTGATCTCATTCTTTTGGTCACTACCCACAGCTCGTGACCATAGGTGAGGGTAGGGACGTAGATCAACTGGTAAATTGAGAGCTTTGCTTTTACACTCAGCTCCCTCTTCACCACGACGGACCGGTGCAGCGTCTGCCTCACTGCAGCCGCTGCACCAATCTGTCTGTTGATCTCCCGCTCCCTTCTCCCGTCACTTGTGAACAAGACCCCGAGATTCTTAAACTTCTCCACTTGGGGCACTCCACCCTTTTCTAGATACATGCAAATCTTATTATTATTGTGAAATAGAGAAACACCAGAGATATTCACATGTTCTGTATAATATTCTGGACAGATCATATTGATCAAACAACCTTTGCATGCAAGAATGTTTTCCAACTACTTGAAGGGCATGGATCACTTGGATTTGCTTCAAATAAGTTTGGCTGTAGTTTTTAATAGAGCTATCTCCTGTGCTTTTGTAGTTATGATGGAATTACCTGATTTTCTAACAAATGAAAAGTAATTTAAAATTGCACTAAGGGCGACCATAGTTCAGGGGCTTGGGATGCTCATCTTGTAACCGGAAGGTTGCCGGTTTGATCCCCAACTCTGTCTGTCTTGGTCGTTGTGTCCTTGGGCAAGACACTTCACCTACAGCCTACTGGTGTTGGCTGATGGCGCTTTTTATTTGTTTTTGTTTCTAATGTCTCTGTAAAGCACTTTGAATCACCTTGTTGTTGAATTGTGCTATACAAATAAACTTGCCTTGCCTTGCCTTACAGCCTACTGGTGTTGGCTGATGGCGTGATATGGCAGCCTCACTTCTGTCAGTCTGCCCCTGGGCAGCTGTGGCTACAACTGTAGCCTCCACCAATGTGAGAGTGAATGAATAGTGGAATTGTAAATTATTTATATGTTGTGAAACCATAACATCTCCCTGTAAGAGATATTACAGGATGCGATGCTCTGAGTGAACAACAGGTGGCAGCAGACTTTTACGTTTCTCTGCAGAGCGTCTTTAGGTTTGCTTCTCCAGAACAACAGACGATCCTGTCCACAGGTGCAAGAATAACAACCTCAGTACTTTAAACAGGAGTACGAGAATTAAAAGTCAAACATCTAAAATCTTCACAGTAAAAACAAAAACCCCAACAAGAAGTAAAACTGAAGAAATCAACTTTCTCTCTGCAGGGCAGGAAAAGTCTCCTGTATTGGTTACCTGTGTCCTCTGGGCTTCGCTGCATGTATTTACTGATCTCATGCGAACATGAGGATCAATTATTGTCCCGTGTAGGCCCCTGTAGCTTACTGAAGCAGAGAAAAACGAATTAAAGAGGCGAGAAGAAGCTGCCAACAGGAACAGAGCCGGCGGGGCGATGAGGCCAAACAAAGAGGATGGATTTCAGACTGAAGCCTAAACCTTCCTAAATCAGTTAGTCCTGAGCCCATCCTGACCTCTAATCTGCTCATCCGGCCTTTGAAGCGTGCACTTCAGGGGGAGGAAAACCGATCAGCCAAATGTCCCACTCTTAAGTGACAAAATGCCCTGAGGTGACACACACACACACTGTGAGGCAGCTGGACGAGGTAGAAACACTCCTGACTTTGTCTGTGATGTGTGGACAGCTGCAGCGAAGAGCAGCGCTGTGTCTGATCAGACCACCTCAGTCGAGTTCAACACAAGTCCAAGAGCAAGTATGATGACCGAGTGTCAGCAAAGTCAGGAGGCTGGAACGCACGTTTACAGGCTTTTCATTTCAAATGTCAAACACAGACAGACTGAGTTTCAGCTTTTACGAGACTAAAACAGAGTGAGGACATGTTGGGAAATCAATGGTGGTCCATCAGAACTCAGTGCCACCCACCAGACCCCCTCACAGTCAGCTGAGTAGTAAATTTAATGAAACCATACAACAAATGTTTCCACCACACTTTCAGTAATTTCAACAGTAACAACTTTAATTTAGAGTTTTTTTTAACTCAAATCATTTTTCCATCATTTT